TAAAGAATTAAATCACATTGTTTATAAAAAATAATTCCAAAAGAATTTGACCTTGTAGGAACAACAATCTCCCTTGGTTATAAGTGGTGGACTTCAGATGGGAAAGAATACTCCTGAAAGAGCAAATTAATGAAAATGAAAGAAACATTTGCTTTTATTGATTCAACCTTGGTAGTTTTACAAGCCAGACCCTGATTCTGACATCGTTCACCAACAAGAAAATGAAGTTCTTGTTTGTTCATCTCAAACAAAGCACAAGAAAAACGTCAAGACAGAACATGTAGTTTTTATAAAAGCCCTTCAAACTCTTCCAGTTATTAACAAGAAATGTCAATAGATTTGACATCAGGTTTCTTCACTTCCATCTTAGGAACAGTGACTGTGAGAACCCCATTCTCCATGGAGGCCTTAACTTGATCCATCTTCACATTCTCCGGCAGCCTAAACCTCCTCGAGAACTTCCCACTGCGCCTCTCCACACGGTGCCAAGTGTCATTCTTGTCTTCCTTCTCTATTTTCCTCTCTCCACTGATTTGAAGCACCGTGTCATCTTCAACCTCAACTTTCACTTCCTCTTTCTTAAGCCCCGGGAGATCAGCCTTAAAGACGTGAGCTTCCGGGGTCTCCTTCCAGTCGATGCGGGTGTTCACAAAAGCAGAGGTTTCAGGTGAGCGTGTCGCGAGTGATGAAGGGAAAGGGAAGTCCTTGAATGGATCCCATACATCAAGAGAAAAAGGATCGAAGACGCTGCTCCTCCTGTTGCCAAAGAAACTTGGGATCATCGCCATTTCTCTTGCAATATCGAAAAAAGGATCGACACAAAAGCTGAACAAATGGAAAATCTAAAGTTTTCAACGCTTATTATTTCTTTGAATGCGAATATATCTTCTTGCGGTTGCGGCTGAGTAGCTACGACATGTTGGGTGGGTATTTATAACCAGCTGGAGATGAATCTAGTAATTTCTCCACCTTTTCTTTGGTTTTTCCCCCTTTCGGATCGTAAATCTAGTAAGTTCATGAACATTACAGAATGGGCTTGAATGGTCTGGATTCTAATGTTGTTCAAATTGGGGCCCAGTCTAATTTCCTAGATTAGATAAAATTAGAGATATTTCATAGATTGTCTAGACTTGGATTTTTTAGGGTAAACTATACAAGTAGTCCCCATAAGTTATTTTAATGAGTCTCTATTGAAAGTTATAAAATTATCCTATGACTACAAGGTGTTATTTTGTTGAATCATTTGACTATGAAAAATTATAAAATGGTCACCTAACTATTGTATGTTCTAAACTCATCATTTTTTATTAAAAAGTTGATGACATTCTAAGCCAAATGTTAACCTACTGATTGAGATATAATAAAATCTGATCTTGAAATCTCAAACGACTATTATATCTCACTCAACATGTTTACGTTCAACTCAGATGGCTGTTAATTTTTTTTTTTACAAAATGACAAGTTTAAAACACATGAATAGTTGTGTGACCATTTTGTCACTTCAACAAAGCAATGTCTTATAGTCAGATGGCTATTTTATAACTTTAAATAATCATATGACTCAATAAAATGATACCCTATAATCAGTAGATCATTTGTGTAGTTTATCTTTTTTTTTTACTTAAATCGAAACATCGGATTTGGCCCACATATATTTATATTAATTTTAATATTTTGTATAACTAATTTTCAATAAAATTTGTCGCTTTCTCCTTCCTTCCTCTACTTTTTTTTTTCTTTACAAAATTTTCTATCCTTTATAGATCAAATTAATTTTTTTTTATTTTGTTTAGTTGGCGATGATACCGATTTTGATATTGGTTATCGATTGTTGATTGTCTTCTCTCATTTTTTTATTTTTTTTAATAAGAATAAGTTTGTCTTTGTAACACGTTTATCTCTGTCTTTTGGTAATTTTCGATTGTTTGACTGTTATTTTCGTCTATCTTTTTTTTTAGGTTGGATTTGACATCGTCACGACTGATTAAGGTGACGCTTATTTGTTATTATGCTGATATTCACTGCTTTGGACCATCAGATTGATTTGGACACGCTTTTTGCATTTGAGGATAGTTTTCTCATGTCACTTGAATCTGATTTACGATTTTTCGGTGGTCTTTCAATAGTCTCATCCCCTTTTGTACTTCGTTTGCTGATGCAGTCAGATTTATTTATATCTTTATTTTGTTCAAGCATTTTGGTTATGTTTTTCAACATTTTACTTCTTTAGTCATTGTGTGATATATGTGACTAGTTTTTGCGTCAGGTTGTAGGAAAAATGTCCAAATTATAATTTGGTTTACGTTTACGGTTATGTTTGTAAATCTTCATTGTAATTATGGATATTTTTCGAATTTTAATAAAACTAACGTCTTTCTATAAAAAAAATTCAATAAAATTTTTATTTTAATTTAAAAGGTTTTAGTTAAAGTCCATCATTAAATAATTAAAAACATATAATTGTCATTAATAATAAAAATACGAATATATTCATTAAAAAGAAGAAGAAAATTTCAAATGTGTGTTTTCAGTCATCAAAAAAAATTCTAAGTCACAATAAAATTTAAAAAATATATTATATAACTAGATCCTAACTCTCGTTCTATATAAAAAATATAAATTTAGTTTAAATTACATTGAAATAAGTTTTTTTATACTAGGTTCTCCAAATTAAATTTGACTCGATTATGGTGCAGATCCAATTGCGTTGTATAAAATTCTTTTAACTTTACATCTTTTTTAAGACTATTAAATGAGCGAAATTAAAGATTGAGATTAACAATAAAAAATAAAAATATATTCACTAAACAAAGAATCAAACACTTAATCTCAACATTTAGTTTCCCTCAATTTAATGATCCTAAAAAGATATAGAAATATTTTTTTTACTGAATTCTAACTCTCTCTATATATATATAGTAGAAAATAATATAATTGAATGATAAAATCGAACTTGCTTTTACTATGAATAAACCAGTGTGTTAGAAGTAAAATCATTATGATTAATGTAATTTTTAAAATGGAAGTTGTCCTTGTAACTTTGTACACTAGAAACAGGTTATAGAGATAAACTGTACTCTGATGTATTGAACTGAGTACAAGCACTCTGTGTCTGTAAATTAAGAAAAGTGGTTGAAACGATAAAAAAATATCTCATAAATTTTTATTAATGGATATTTTCAAATTAAATTCCAATCAATCAATCAATTAACTATTAAATTAATCATTATAATTAATGTAGAAAAATAAATGATCAAAATACTCACATAACTTCATTTAAAAATACTAAAGCATTCACACATACAAAAATCAATCTATAAATATAGACAAAATTTCTCATTCAAATTTTTTGGTCTTAATCAGCGTAATTCACGACAACAATCTGGACCTCGTTCTGCTCGTCATTCATCAAGTGGCTGCATCATTAGTTATATGGGAATGGGAACAATCGATGCAGTTTGCTGATTGTGAAGGTGTCTGTAATCGAATTTGATCTTCGAAGTTTCTTCTTTGAAAATAATTTAAAATCTGAGAATTAAAGAGATATTTTTGTACGGAAAACATGAGTAGTTCTTCCATTATTTGGAAGACGAAACTGAATCCAAAGACACAGTAATGAAAATAAATGTTTACGTTTTACTGACAAAAACTAGATAATAAATTGGCAACCATATTTTTTTAAGGGTAAAGTAAACAAAAGATATCTCAATTGTAAGTTATTATTTTAATCAGTTCTTCGTCTATCAAAAATTATAAAATAGTTTCTTAACTAAATGATATTATTATGTTGAGTCTCATAACAATTAAAAGTTACAAAATGACTATGTAACTATTCATATAGTCTAAACTTATCTTTTACTATTAAAAATTAACGACATTTCAAGCTGAATATTAGAATGTAGATTGTGATATGATAAAAATATGATCCCAAAATCTCAAACGACTATCATATCACAGTTAATGAGTTAACGTTCAGCTTAAACTATCATCAATTTTTAACAAAAAAAAAAGACAAATTTGAAATATATGACTAGTTGAATGATCATTTTTTAACTTTTAATAGTTAAGAGACTCAACAAAGTAACACTCTATGAATAGAGAATTATTTTAATCGGGTCTCAACAAATCAACATCCTATAATCAAAAGATCAATTGTGTACTTTACTTTTAAAAAAATTAAATAGAAAATGTATAAATTGCACGTTTGGAAGATGAACTTTATAGATTAAATAAAAAATTAATCTATAAAGTTTAACGAATAAATTGAAAAAGTTAAAAAATACGATGAGTGAAATACGAGGTTGGAAAATCAAATATTCTCTCTAGGTTCACTAGAAAACGAGTTTTGTTTGGAATCTAAATCCACTATTGGCGTCGAGTTCGCTACTAGAACCCTCCAGGTTTTTCATCTATTCATTCTACTCCTGTTTTATATGTTTTTTCTTTTCTTTTCTTTTATTCCTCTAAAAATGAATTGATTTGTATTAAGGTGAGAGAAATGGTTACTGGATAGTGGTGATTGTCGAAGGTGATTTTGACTTGTACCTTGGAAGTTCATTTTGAATGATTTATACTAAGTTGAGAGAAAAGATTACTGGCTAGCGATGATCATCAAATGTAGTTTTTGTACTTTTACACTGAAAGCCTGAAATCAAATGGTTAAGGGATTGTCCCGTTTCTGTTTTTTTGGAACTGATAAATTCTCAGCATGTGTGGTTTAATTAGTTATTTGTTTACCAGCCAACATTTTTCAGAACAAATTTGATATTATTATATTGAATTTATCTATAATTATATAGCAAAATTAGTTCATTTATATGATTTTATTCTATACTTAGTTGGCATTTATAATCAATGTATCGGCCAAATATAAAGTTACTAAAAGAATTTCAACAAACTAATGATAATAAAAGAAGAGAGGACTTTTTTTCCCTTCAAAATGTTATCATAAATAAAAACTGCTTTTAGTTTTACTAAAGGCCTAACAAAGTGCGGATTTATGGACTCTGACGAAAACATTTTCGAACATATAAAATTTTAGGCTTCTCCGCCACATCGGAGTTTTAGCCAGCCACTCACCGCTATTATATTAAGAAAGAAAAGACAGGCGTTCGCCTCTTTCCTTTTCAAAGAATTCCTAAACAAAATCAAAATTCAGGAGAGAAGAGTAAGGAATTTGGAAATTTGTTGTTATTGGAGATTCTTTTTTATCATTATTATTTTCCCCAAATTATGGGATATGTTTCAATGGAACCTGCGGTTTTGGATGATGTAATACATCGCTTATTGGATTTAAAACAAACGAGGCCAGGGAAGCAGGTGCAGCTGTTGGAAGGTGAGATCCGTCAGCTTTGCACTGTTGCAAGAGAAATCTTTCTTCAGCCTAATCTTCTTGAACTTGAGGCTCCCATCAAGATCTGTGGTACGCTTTTATTTAATTATTGTTCTTTTTTCCAGTTGAAAAATGGTGGAAATTGACGTTTTGGGTATATGTATGTTTAATGTTAGGGTTGGGGTGTTCTGAATCTTTAATGTATGAGGCAAAAGTTAAAAACTTATAAGAAATGTTCCTCTTTTTATATGGAAATTTGAGATTAGGGGAAAGTTGAAAAGATTTCGGAGGAAATGTTTTCTTAGCTTTTTGAACGATTATGTTTGTCCATCGGGCTGCATTGAGGATATATACTTGGTATCTTTGCTTGAATTTTATTAATCCAGAATTGATGTTTTGGGTGCTGTTCTTGGTATGATTTGTTCTTAACCAGATTTTATTTTATCTTAATGTGAGGTAAGATGGAAGTATGGGCTCAATTTTAGCTTAGAATAAGGTTGAAATTGAGGTTGAGTACGTCGTTTCTTAGCTATTGAATATTGATCAACTCTGCGACACATAATTGCATATGATCTGAATTTGATGACGGATTGAAGGTGTGAATTGTAACCGCTTTTTATGTATTGAATCGTTTAGATTTTCGTAGTATTTTAATGCTACAGGTGGGGTGGGGTTTGCCGTTAGCTACAGTTGAAATACAAGAATGTTTTAGACTGGCTGAGCTGCTTCCTTATATCTTGGTTACTTGAGAAGGCTGTGGGTTGTTTCTGCATGGGATGGATGGGAAACCATATTATTTATGTTAATCATCAATGAATGCTCTAAATATTATTGATTGTTGAAAGTGGAAACTATTTATTAGTATATTTTTACATGATGAACGAATAGAGGATCATGAAAACGACAGAACCATATAAAGAAGAAAGGAAACCTATCATTATTGAAGCCTCCTTTCACTTTAAATATCCATTTTAAGTTCTGAGGTCTTAGTATTTGTTATTCTCTTTGAATTCATTTAAAATGTAAAGTCCTTTAAGTATCGAAAACTGATGAAGTAATATTTGTTTGGTACTACTTAATACTTACTAGGTTGTTCCAATTATGCATAGATAAAGAAACTCAAAAGAAATGTTGGAATTCACATTCAATTCCTACGGAAGTCACAACTATATAAAAATAGTATAGTGGAGAATTCACATGCTATTTTGAATATTAATTCTGGAAATCTGACTTTATAAGTTTGACAATTGGCCTAAACTTATTTAGAAGAAATTTGAGTAGTCTGTGATCTTTTGTTTTCTTTTTCCAGGTGACATTCATGGGCAGTACTCTGATCTTCTGAGGCTTTTTGAATACGGGGGTTTCCCCCCTAATGCTAATTATTTATTCCTGGGGGACTACGTTGATCGTGGCAAGCAGAGTCTAGAAACAATATGCCTTTTGCTCGCCTATAAGATCAAATATCCTGAGAACTTTTTCCTTTTGAGAGGGAATCATGAATGTGCTTCTATTAACCGGATTTATGGCTTTTATGATGAATGCAAACGAAGGTTCAATGTGAGACTTTGGAAATTCTTTACTGAGTGTTTTAATTGTCTTCCAGTGGCTGCTGTAATAGATGACAAAATATTGTGCATGCATGGCGGCCTCTCCCCTGATTTAACAAATTTGGATCAAGTAAGGAGTTTAACCCGTCCAACAGATGTTCCTGATTCTGGTCTGCTTTGCGATTTACTTTGGTCAGATCCCGGTAGTGGCATAGAAGGCTGGGGTATGAGTGATCGAGGGGTGTCATTTACTTTTGGCCCAGATAGAGTCTCTGAGTTCTTAACGAAAAATGATATGGACCTTGTTTGCCGTGCCCATCAGGTTAGGGAAATTTGCTTCGTTCTTCTTTATGTGTGTGGATTGTGTAAGCAAAGCAACGAACCATAATGCTTCTCTTTCAGGTTGTTGAAGATGGATACGAGTTCTTTTCTGACAGACAGCTTGTGACAATATTTTCTGCTCCCAATTATTGTGGCGAATTTGATAATGCTGGTGCAATGATGAGCGTTGATGAAAGCCTAATGTGCTCTTTTCAAATTCTTAAGCCTGCAGATAAAAAGTCCAGTCTCGTTTGAGGGACACTACTGCTGTCTCTGTTCCTGCATTGAACAACTGGTGTAAGTTTTCATCTGACTTTTATTAAACCACTGTATCGTGTAATTGTACCCACAAATATTTTTCACATTGATCGTCTAGATGACATATACATGTTTGCAAACTGTGTGCTTTGATTTGTTAACTTTAGCCACCAGTTCCTGTGTTCATATGATCCCCCCCCCCCCGGCTTCTTTTATGCATTTCACATCGTTTCTCAGATTTTTCAATTTTTTTGACCTTGTGTCTTTCTCATTTGATAACCTAATCCGTGTTTTGTTTGTTGATTCTGACACATCTGTTGCAGTTTTGGTGTGATTTGAGGAAGAAATGTTCAAAGTTTAGGATGCTGGTGATGATATTGCAGCTCCTTGAAGATAATGTCATAATGAAATATGAGCATTTCTCCCCTATATTAAAGGGGTACAGGCTATCTGTTTAAAGCTATTTTATAACCATTTGAAATCAAAAAGATAATACATGGTCGAGAATGAATTCAAACAGTAAAATCCTTTGATTTTTTTCGTTCTTTTTTAGCACTCAAGATATTTTCAATATATTTCCATTGGAAAGGGTGCAAAGTTGAAGTGATGCTGATTTAGGAATTAGGAAGGGGGGGTAGGCTGAAGCTAAAATGTTGAAAATGTTTTTCAACTATTTAATGTCTTTGATTGTACCTAAATAAAACTCCACACTTCAATTTTTATTCAAATAAGTCTTTATTTTCATTGAAATTCTTTATTTTCTTTGAAAGATGGGCCTCATTATTTTCATTGAAATGCTATTTTATGTCAAAGGGTATATTTTGATGTAAATTAAGGGTCTGATTTTAGTTGCTTTATTTAAAAATTATATAAAAATACAAATATGTTATCATAACAATATTTATTATTATTTCAGAATATATTTTCAGTGTTTATGTTTTTCAAATTGAATTGGTAGCTATAAATATGACATTAACAATCTCAATTCAACCATTAACTTAAAATAAATACAAACGGATACAAAAAGTTGAATAAATTTTTGTGAAAAATAGATTTAAATACCTTAATTTAAATCTAAATGATTTTTAAACATCACTTATAGTATCCAAAAATAAAAAATAAAAGATCCATACGAAATGAGAAAAATTAAGCACTAATGGGAGAAAAAAACTCGCCATCCCACACACTGCCCATCCATCACATGTATTCTTCAAAGGTGGATTAGACTGTATGGTCGGTCACCTCCTTTGTACTCCTATAAAGTATCATCCTCAAAGAGACGTCCTAATTCTGTAGGACAATGTGCTCTAAACAACCCCTAAAGTATGGGAGTTCGAACTATATACATATATAAATAATGAACAAATGTAATCATGTTACTACTTATATTTGTAAGCGGTAACCATGATATATATATAAATATATGCTGCTATAACAGACTTTCGACATGTTTTTTAGTAATATTTACGTTCCTCTAATACAATTTCAACGGCATGAATCTTTTGTTTACAGTGGAACCGCACAATAAAAAAAGAGGGGAGGAAATACTTGAAAGAACATAAACAGACAAGAGATTAAGATACACTTGAAACAAGTAGTCTTTTAATGGCAATGCTCTTATGATAATGAGTGAAGCCAATCAAGTAAAACAAGCGCAACTCTCTTGTCCTAATATTGTTGTTTCAACTTGTCATTTATAAAAGAAAGCACACTCCAATCCCACAAGGGTTAACTTATTTTGCTTCATTAGAAACGTAAAGGATACAAAACTTAAGATGTTGGATAAATTTCGGGGCAAAAGCCCCAGTCGACTGACATACTGTAACCCATGGATGGATAAACTAGAACAAGAGCCTGGATCAGAAGAGGGAATAGAAATCGAGCAAGAATCAAATGATGTTCGTGGTAAAAAAATTGTTCTTCTTCTTTGAGGTTTCAGACTCGAGCATCATCACAAATGTCAAAGACAATAGCGAAACTCAATATTATTTTGTGAGGGGAGATTTTGTATACATTAATTAAAATATTTTAATATTTTTATCAATGTAAATTATATATCAAAATATCATACTAATAAAAGAAAATTTTATAAATCCTTAAAGTTCATTCGTTCATATAAAAATTTAAAGAGATAAAATGAATCAATAATATTATTATCAATATATGTGTCTAAATTTTTATTTTTAGGGATGAAAATTCATCAACCTACGTAATAAGTTTAGATATTTAAAATAAAGCTATAAATTTAAATTGAATTGAAAAATATTTTTAAAAAATCACCTTCAACTGAATCTAAATTAAAAGTTTAATTCTTGATAGTTTGATTGAAATACTCAACTAAAAAAAAATACAACTAAACAAGTCAACTACAAATAATGTTTTTGTATCTTTAAATCAAATATAACAAATAAAAATAAATTTTCCTCGAGGAATTATTGTTATTCTTTGAGGTCCCAGGTTCATGTGTCAAAAATACGAAGGGTGTAAGCGTTCAATATTAAATGGTTAAGAATTATCATTGAACATATATTACTTATACTTGCCTCATCCTAATCAACCAAAATAAATAAAAAATCATTCATTTAAAAATTAAAACAATAATATAAAAAATGAATGTTAAATTTTTTATTAAATGATATTTAATTGATTTTTAAATTTTAAAATAATATACATAATCTAGTAGAATCAAATTTAGTAACTTATTATACATATTTTGAAGGGGTAAACTTAAGAATTATATATATTATTTTTAAAATATTTTTAGGGGGCCATGGCCTTCTACTGCCCTTCTAAGTGTTCTGTCATTGGTTAAGGGTATAAATATTTAATGTCAAATAATTAAAAGTTAAATAAACAAATGATTGGGTCCTCCATTTCTTACGGTCATGAAATTCAGAAGCTTTTGCTTTTGCATCCCAAAATCAAAAAACGAAGAAGCTAAGTGAGAAGATTCAGATACGTCTTCCAACAAAAAAAAATATCCCATGAAAAGAGGGAAAAAGGAAGGAGATGTCGATGATACTGAGCAAGGGGTCAAGGACGAAACCAAGATTTCAACTTGAGGGGAACAAAATATATAATTTTTTTTAAAAGTGGGGGGAAATTTCATAATTATCCTATAAATATCTAAATTTTATATAAAAATTAAAGGTAAAAAAAAATAAAATTTTGACTGGATGAGAGGGCCCACAGCCCTTCCCAAGTTTTTAGTGGCTCCATCCATGCGAGGGATTGTCATACTGATTCCATCATAATCTCTCTTTCATATTGAATGCAAAGAGATGGGTAAGGTGCACTTTTTTAACCAAAATAATAATAATAATAATGATAATAAAAATACAACAGAACATAGTTAACCCGTAAATAAAGTGAGAAGTAAACTATAATACATAAAATAATGGAATATAAAACATATTTAAAATATTTAAAAATTTATATAAATGCCAATAATTTCTACAGTATAAAGTTAAAATATTTATTTTTTTAAAGTTGTGAGTTCAATATTTTTTTTCGAGTCTCTCCCATTTTCACAAGCATGTCGGTACGTAGAGATGTTCGTTTATTTCTTTTCAATTTTGTTTGGATAAGCTAGCAATGTTACTTTTTATATAAGCACGTGGGTTAATCATATACATATGTCAACATTAGTTCAGATTTGGTATTGGAACCCTCTCACATGACCCTAAACATCAAACCACATTATTTTGAAAATTTTGTTCTCCAACATCTTTAAAGACATTTTGCAATCATCTTCTATTCACTCGCTGCACCCTAATCTCTTGCCCAATCAGACTTGGAAAGAGCTAACTAAATGTAGAGAAAATAACCCAGCCTTTCCTTCCAGTTTCACTCCCGATGAACCAAAATGACGAGAATCGGGGGAGAAAACCAGTGAATTATCTTTTTCTTTTTTCAAATAAGAAACAAGTGAAATTTCAAACGACCATTAAATTACGTGGCTCTCCTTAGATCCACCACGACTACGCTGTCCGTACTATGCCTAGCCTACGCCAGCTTTGTCAACAGCATGGACGCATCAGCGCAGGCCTTATCCGAGATCTCTCCTCCCATCACTGACCCTTTAACCGCCTCCCTTTCCACTCTTCCCGCCGACAACAGCAGGGCGTTTAAATCACAGTTTCCGCCCCTCAAACACGTGCGCGCCACCCTGCATGCAGTATCATTCGACACAACGTCCCATAAATCGTCACTCGCCAGAATTAAAAATTCGTCCGCCGCCGTCCGCTCAGTAACCGTAACCTCCGGCTCACAAACCACGTAGGGTTTCAAGTAGTTGTCACCTGTGGCGTTGACAATGTTTGAAGTGAGCAGGGTAGGATTTTAAAAGAGAACGAAAGTTTTCTTTAGTGTTCTAAATTTTACCTATGGCTATGGACATAGCGAGGACTCCCAGAACTCGAGGACCATCCCAGAAATTAAACCGACCTCCCGCTTCTTCGATCCGGTTCTGCTCATCCGGTCGATCTGGCTGTTTACATGCAAGAGAAAAAAATGAGCTTTATCTAATTATTTCTCATGGTATAATAAAAGAATCGGACGATCCGGTTCCACCTGTGCAACAGTATTACTCCTTTTGTCCACTTACTACCCAAGTTCTTTGTGAATTAAAAATTTTCTGAGATACGAAATTATATTAATAATAAAAAATATATAGAAATTATCTAAATTATACAGGAATTTAAATTTTATTGTTCCATTGATGCTTACAGTCAGCATCGATATATATGATTTCTTGCTGAAAGAGGCCACCGAAAGCCTTCCTCACTTCTGTCTTCTGATCTGACTCTTTTTGCTTGGGGAAAAATGATAATGGAGCTTGCTTGACAACAGCTTTGTTGGACGGCAACGTTTCAGCCTTAGCTCGTCCCCTGACTGTGGCAACCTGCCCTTCATCAGAAGGCTTTTGAAATGCAGTTGATATCTGGGAACTGAAATTTTCCCAAGAAAACCCAGCGCTAATGTCTTTTGCTTTACTCAAGATGCCTTCCATGGATGTCCCTGCACCCTCTGCTTTCTCCTCTACTTCTTCGGCTCTACTAGCAGCCTTGCTTTGTTTCTCCGAAAGCTTTTTCGCTTCTTCTTTCAGCCTCTTTTCCGCATCGCGAGATTTCTCAGCATATTCTTTTGCCTCTTTTTCAGCTTTAGCTTTTGCATAGGTCTTCCTTCTTTCATCCTCCGGAATAGCACTTAAAAACAAGAAAATATAAATAATGGAAATCAGGATATGTTTCTTTCCCATGCAAGCTCAAATCGATCGTCAATGACTATATATACTATAATTGATTGACTAACAGTACCCTAGCTATATATTTACCTAAAAAGCTCATCTCCTCCCTTCAATGGCGCTGATGGGCTCGTGAAAACCTCAACAACCTATCTTATTTAGCAAACCACTAAGATACATATGTGTAGAATACAAGTGTTTCGTATAAATCACATTTAAATTTACATCTCATATACCTTGTTTTCTGCCAAGGATGTGTTGGAGAAAACATCCGCCACCAGGGGATGCTATCTGAGATTTCGCGACCTGACCATAATATTTCCAAGATATTGAGCAGTAAGACGATACAAAAAGGGTGACCAAAGAAAGAGATTTTTGCAATGAAACTGTATACATTACATTTTATCACATTACTTTATAGTCGTTTGCACCAATGCTTCCTTCAGCTGACATAGCAACATTGTAAGAGCTCTCTGCTGTGTAATCTTCTGTCAGGGTTGTCTTTAAGAACGTGTAGCTAACGCCGGTTTTGATTACTTTTTGCAATAACTCGAGCAGGCTCGGCGGTTGAGACTGAGAGAAGAGGTTGTTGAACAATGTGAGGCCATCAATCACATTATAAGTCGAAGCAGCGGCTCGGTTTCCATCGTAGACTATTGCCACATGGTCTACACCGGCTAGTTGAGCAGCTTGGGGTCACTTGTAAGGCATCTGATGTGGAGACCTCGGAAGAGGGACCATTTTCAGCTGGACCAATGGTGACAACAACTTTGCTGGCGTTGCCAATTGCTTTGGTTATTGATTATGCATCTTGGAAGCTGAATTCTACACCATTGAGCCGCTTTGAATCTTGGTTGGATATGATCTGTAGTGACAAATTAAAGAGGAAGTGTACTGCGTATTAAAGTTCAAGTCTTTGCATGGTTATTGTTGCGAACCTTGTATTCGACTGCAAGACGAGCCAGTTCTTGAGCATCACCAAGCTGTGGCACCCCATCCAGGACAGTAAAACCCTGGCGCAACAACGATTGTGCAATCCGAATACCAGCCTGTCCGGTTGCTCCCGCAACGAATACGGTGCCGAGATCTTTTCTTCTCAGTTTCCCAAATGATAAACCCGTGGAAGGTTTGCTCACAATTGGAACCAAAGTTTCCACATCAGAGACCTTACCGAAATTGAAACGAAAAGGACTAGAATTGCCTGAAATGGAGACCTTTTAAATGGAGACCTTTTGGCAAACACTGTGAACCTGTTAAGGGTTAGCCATGGCTGGGGCGTGGTGGTTAAGAGAAATGAATCGGAAGTGAAAGTTCGAGCCATGATATGTTTGAAAAATACGTTAAAAGGCGATTATTTCCTTCAATTATAGTTTTCATTGAAAGTCATTTTTTTTAATTTCATGGTAATTGATGCAGGTCTTTGTGGCAATCGAGTAGCGCTCTATCTAAGAGAAAAACTGGCAAAAAAGATTGAGCCACGTAGTCACAATTTTATCTGATGAAAAAAATTGGACACCAGTTGTGGAGTCGCACTTGAGGTATTATCGGTTGAAATCAGCCACCCGAAGTTGGCATGTCCATCAACAGCTTATTTTGATTTAAGATTTCGCTAAACAGATAAAGCACAAGTAAACGGAGAGGGAGGGATATTAATTCTTTTAAATTTTTTGAATTTTTATATATTCTAATATTTTTAATTTTAATTTTGTTTTTATTCTTTTTAAATTTTAAAAGTTCTTTTTTCTTTTTAAAACTTTATATGTTCATTCTATCTAATAAAAAAAAATTATGCTGGTCTATAAGACAATTTCACTGCATTTTGGTCCGTTTTAGTATTTAATTTTTCATTTTTTTTATAAATTTAACGTTAAGTTTTTAACAGGTACTAAAATAAAATAAAAATTAAACTTTAGATATAGTTTAGAAAATGAAAGTTTAGGTACTAAACACATAATTTACCCTAAACTTTTAATTTTTTTACTACTCATTAAATTTTATAGATTGATTTTTTTATTACTCAACCGTTAACTTTCTAATATTATTATGACATGGCTGCCTATACCAAATCGACACCATTTTGGATTCCTACATAAAACTAAACTTAGTTCAAAACTACGTCGTTTTGGTTCTCTACAAACAAACAAAAATCTCATTTTTTCTTTATTCTTCTTCTTCCTTCTCTCTTTTCTCTCTATTTCTATCTAAACTAATCTAGAATCCGACCATCGTATTAGTTTTTGTTTGGCCATTGTCGATCACTATCATTGGATGTTGATGAGTAAAAAAAATTCACTAAAATCGTTCGACCTTTCTAAACGCGAATCCATTGTTCATTTTGAACGGTCGATGATGGAAAATCTCTCGATTTTCTTCAATGAAATTCTAGATGCCCATGTCACAAATAAAGAGTATTCAACTTTTAATCTAATTGTTATATAAATGGTATAAGCAATAAAACCGTGTTTTCAGAATCGTTTATGTGAGAAGTTATTTTGTTACTTTCTATAAAAAAATCTGGGGAATTGAAGAATGCTTATAAGGTGTTTGAAGAAATGCATGTAAATAATGTAATTTCATGGACTACTATGATTGTTCGATTCTCAAAAGGATGGCAGGTTGATATGTGCTTGGAGCTATATTGATGAAGAATTTGACATTCAAACCTGCGCTCTGGCCTACAATTGTGGCTGGTGGTTTTTATTTTGAACAAGTTCGAGTGTTAGAATTAGAATGAAGTTTGAGATTATGGTTTAATAATTTTACTTTTTATTTTATAATCCTACTAAGATACCTATTTTGACCAAAAATAATTTTAGGTATTTATTTTGATCAAAAAATTAATTTTAGGTACCTATTTTGTTATAAAATACTTTAAATACTTATTTTGACAAAATATACTTTAAAAACTTAAATGAAAAAGAAAATATACATTAGATACTTATATGTGATGTAAGACTTTTATTAATTACTGTGAAAATGTTTATATTATTTTGACAAAGCGCATGCCCATTGAGTTGCGCCACGTGTGCACACTCCTTATAAACGGATGCAAACCTATTTATATTGCACTCTTTTAATCCCTTTTCTTGTCCGCCCCTAAACTTTCATCCATTCCCCCTTTCTGTTAATCTCCGATTCTCCAAACTCCAAACCCTAGCTTCTCTTTTTTTAATTTCACCCCGTCGATCACTTTTTCAACCCCTCACTTCTCATGGTTCTTTTCTATTTCTCCTGAAAGATTTTACCAGAAATAAGAGAGAGAGAATCCAATAATTTATTTCTTTGTTAGAAAAAAAAGAAGAAGAATCCGAGGAGCTAGATAGACGATTCGGCAAAAATGACGTCGTCAACAACGAGCTCGGTTTACATCAACGTCATCGAAGATGTCATGAACAAGGTTCGCGATGAGTTTATCAACAACGGTGGACCAGGCGAAAGTGTCCTCAATGAACTCCAAGGAGTAAAAAGCCTTCTCCATTTCTGATTTATTTGATTTATTTATTTTTTAGAATTTAGGGTTAGATTCGTTGTTTTAGAAATTAGTAGGTCTCTGGACTCGTTATGTGTATAGATTTTGATCTGGGTGAAAGCGTTCGGGTTTGTTAATAATATTATCTGAAGGAAACTGATCTAGTTGAATTGATTGTGCGGGATATTTGGGTTTTAGCTTTGGGAGATGAAGATGATGCAAGCGGGAGCAATCGTTGGTCCGATAGAGAGATCTTCAGGTCAGAAGCAACCTGCTCCCGGCGGCCCAATTACTCCGGTGCACGATCTCAATGTTCCTTACGAGGGGACTGAGGAGTACGAAACTCCTACAGCTGATATGCTTTTTCCTCCGGTAACGGGCTCTATCTTGACTGCTTTTATGAGTTTTAGTTACGGTGATAATTTTATGTTGTGATTTTTTTATAAGGATTTTTTAATTACGTAGACTCCTTTGCAAACACCTCTACCTACACCGCTGCCTACTCCACTTCCGGGAAGTGCAGATGGCTCTATGTATAACATACCTACCGGAGGTAGTGATTATCCTACACCTGTGAATGATAGTGGCACTAATGTTGATGTAAAAGGTGGGAGGCCAAGCCCTTATATGGTATGAAATGCTCTTTAACCGCCAACATTGTGCTATTGTAATTTTCTACTTGTCACTAAAGAAAAAAGTAGTTGTTTGGCTTGTTGTAGATTTATAACTAATATTTTCTTTTTGTTTTTCTTTCCACAGCAATCTCCTTCTCCTTGGTCAAATCGAAGGACCCCACTAAGTGTTGATGTTAATGTTGGTTAGTATGACGTTTAACGAGCAATCAGTTTGAATGCGCATGGTTTGTTAACAACAAATTCTATTTTCTTGTAGCTTACGTGGAAGGACGGGATGAGGCGGAAAGAGGAACCTCAAATCAACCCCTGACACAGGTAACTCCTGTTTTAATGTTACAACTGCATAAATGAAGTCTGAATGTTCTGGAAACTACGACCTTCGAAAATCCTTGTTCCCATGTTGAAACGAACTTTTGTTACTGTTGGTGATAATTTTAATACTGGAGGAAATATCAGGACTTCTTTATGATGCCTCCTGGAAAGAGGAAACGTGAGGATTTTTCTACACGGTATAATAATGGTGGTGGATATATACCACAACAAGATGGAGCTGGAGATGCTACATCTGAATTTGCAAAGACGGAGGTTAGTTGTCCTTTGTGTAGTTTATTTACAATTCTGTGTTCATTTTCGTTTGTTATATTTGTATGTTATATCTGGTGAAAATAGTAATATTGAAATGAGAATTGTAAGATTAATCTGATTCATTTTTGTACTCCTCATTGTTCTTCTGTGCCGTGGGCCGATGGCTTTATGATCTTTTGGTCTAATACTGGTTCTTTGGTATTTGACTGGTATCTTTTATGTAAATGGAGAATGACAGAGTGATAATTTGATAACCAGTGCTTGACACAGATCAAGATCTTCCTGGAAGTTCTGTTTCTGGATGGTATTGGGATTATGACTGTTCTGTTTGGGTACATGTTTTCCATTATCATTTAGCAGTCATTAAATGTTTTCTGAACATTAAAGAACAGTCTCAAAGATTGAATGGATGAGTTCTTTAGTGTCTTTTGGTTGACCCAGAACGCTCTCAAACGTGGGTATGGGATGGGTCTCTGAGATAGTGTAATAAGATACGGTAGCATTTCTCCACTTGTAATGATTTCCTCACCGTTTAGCCTAAATTCTCTTATCCATTATTGCTAGATATGCTTCAGACAATTTATTACATTTGTTTTTGTCTCCACGTTCTTTTCTCTTTTGATTACCTTTATCTTGTTAAAAATGGAAAAGCCAACTTAGTTCTGGCTCCGAGCTATAAAATGAATATTTATAAGGAAATTTTATCATTCTAATAGAGCTCATTATGATAAGGTGAGGTTGATTTCCTCTGCTTATAATGATCCTGCCGCTTGTTAGCCTAAATTCTTTTATCCATTATTGTTAGATCTGGTTGAGACATGCTGTCCTCTTTTCTTTTCTTTTTCGTCCCCACATTCTTTTCTTTTTTTCCTGACGTTCTCTCTCCATAAAAAATGCAAAAGAAAATGTAGTTCAAGTTCTGAGCAATAATTTAGTAAATATTTATGATGAGACTTTGTTATTCCAGAAGGGTACTTTTATACCAAACCGTTGTTGGAATGCGTTTGGATTTGTTGTAAACCTTTCTTAATAATGTACTTCTAAGCTTTCAGGGAAATAAGGCTTGTAATTTCTTGGGTAGACATGTCTCAGCAACCAATGCAAAAAGCAAGATCTTAGCACACTTAGCTACTTCATCATCAAAGATTCCACAACTAGATGGACCAATTCCTGATCCATTTGATGATATGCTCTCTACTCCCAATGTAAGTATCATATGCTTTCTTAGGTCAATTCCTAATCTTGTCATGCAATTCTGCAACTTAGTGTTACCTATATGTGTATGGTTTGGATTGGACATTTTCTCTTCGTTTCTTATATATATCATTGGAGAATTCACAAACTTACAGCTCTTGCCTTTCTATTTTCTTCTCTCACCTTGAAGATTTACAATTATCAAGGAGTTGTCAATGAAGATTACAACGTAGCGAACACACCGGCTCCAAATGGTAAACTGAGAATGGATGGGTTGCTTGTGCTTCTTTTAGCTGTTCCTCCCCCCTTCCCCCCTCCTCTATCTCTCATCTAGACACCTTGTGTATTGGATGACCAGCTTTCCTTGTTTCCTTGACAGACCTTCAGGCTGCCACTCCTGCTCCTGTTGCCCAAAATGATACAGTCGATGATGATGATGATGAACCATTGAATGAAGATGACGATGACGATGATTTGGATGATGTGGACCAGGAGGAGCTGAATACACAGCATCTAGTTTTGGCTCAGTTCGACAAGGTGCATTTAGCTGTTTTTGCTGCATCCATCATCCCATCATCTTAGTAATTTGTATTTATACAAGTTATGGCAGTCTCATTTGTCTTCTATGCAGATGATAAATAAACAAAGATGTTATATATTTTTATTTTTAGGTGACTCGTACCAAGAGCCGATGGAAATGCACACTGAAGGATGGCATCATGCATATAAACAATAAGGACATCCTCTTTAACAAGGTGTGCTTCGTATATGTGACGTTATTACACTGATGCTTTTTGGCTTTTGGTCACTGTTCCTAAATCCAATTCTTTTTTTCCCTCTCTTTTTGCAGGCAACAGGGGAATTTGACTTCTGATTTCGTTAGCGAAATGCCTTTCACCGTTATATCGTAGCAGATACTTTTAAAGAGCAAGTCAAGGGGTGTTTCGTAAATTTTTCTTTAATTAATATCTAAGTGAGAGGTTAATGGTGGAAGGACATGTGGTTCTTTATTTTTAATGCCTTCCTTGAGACTTTGGTTGGATGTTTGTCGTATTGTACATACAACGTAGAGCCTTTTCAGCCTAAGAATGCTAGTATCTGAGATGCATCATCAAGTTTAAAAAAAAAATTCTGCAATGAAACCCCAAATTTCGCAAATTAATATAATGATTCTTGCTTATGGCAGGAAAAAATACAGATGATGCTTGTAGTGGTGGTAACTGGTAAGGCATGGAGATTACATTGATTGAAACTTCTCTAATCTTGACTTGGGATAGCATTACATTGAAACAATCACGGATTGTTTATTTGTTTGGGGTGGTGGCATTTATCAAAAAGCCATAGTAATGCAGGGCATAATCTGCTGGCATGTTACAGTAAAGCAACAACATAGGAAAATGGAGATGGTTAAAACTTCAAACAAGTGGAAATTCAATAATGATTTCACTGTGATGGAACACAAATCTGATGATGATAATATTTCTTACAAAAAAAACAAAGGCAACAGCAATTCACTCAACAACTTATCACAGTATTCGACTATGAAGAAAGATCCTCATCCATCAAGGGATTATCATTTGAGATCAAAGCTAACAAAAACAACCTTTAAAGTTTGGGGAAAAAACACAAATATATATGATGTATAAAAACATCACTGTGCATCATTGACAATAACACATCTGTTTTGAAACAAAGCGAGCAAAGTGGAAACCTCCACATGTGCCGCCCCAGCTGGTTCTTTCCAGGCAAATACCGTTGGGACTGGTATTGCAGCAGCTTTCCTGTGGCTATCATCGATCGGAAACATGAATTCATCGGTCGGCGGGAATAGATTGGGTGAAGCGAGCGGCGTCAGCAAGGGAATTGGAGTCGCAGCGGCGGCGGCGGCTTTAGCAGTCCCAAAATTAGCTTCAACCTGATCAAGCTGGAGTGATGCAGGCGCATGCATCTGTGGCCTGGTGGGTGGCTTCCCTTCTTTGCTCTTTCCCATTCCTATAACGTGTTTCTTACGCTCCTCCATTGTTGATACTTTCCACAGAATTTGATGAAAATGGCAAACTGGAGAGGAACAATGAAAAAGGAGAAGATATGGGATTGGGTGAGTGAATCAAAGGCCTCTTAACTTGGGAACCGGGAAACATGGGCTCGTTTTAATAGGGTAATCTCAGGAACATGCAGTTACGAACTGATGGGCAACGGTCACTTACTCATAATTATTTGAGAAATTCAGCCGATTATTTTAGTGGCTAATATTCCCCCCCCCCCATAAAAAAGGATTAGTCCTGGTCAAAACAGACACAAGATCGTTGTCCTCGTAGGAAAGGTGAAAAATACTTGCTTCCCTTTCTGACCGCAGCAAACAAACAAGTTAGCTGCACAGTTAAAATGAAAATAGGACACAACTAAAGGTAAACAACTTTTTCAATTTATGTATTGGTATTAAACAAAGATGAATCAAATTAACAAATTTGCTGTGGAAATGTTAGCTAATTTACAGTCAAAAGTCGTTTCATTCCAAAGCTAAATTGTTTTATAGAAGATCCGGAGAATAGAAAACTCGTTGTTCGTTTGTTTTTTTATAGGTCAATTCAGATAATTAGTGAGATTCAAACCTGGATTCTCATTAAGTTACTAAATGAATACTCAACCAACTAAATCAATTTATGTTAATTATTTGTTTAAATTTATCTTTTATAAGCGAAATGGGTCATCGATGAGATTTAAATCTTATTCTCATGCCAATGAATTCTCAATTAACAAAATCAACTCATGCTACTCATTTGCATAAATTTTGTGCCTTAATTTTTGACGAACACAGAAAAATTTACTTTATGTTGATTTATAGATGGGTATTTATCATTAAGTTTATTGTACAAGTTAAATTGAGCCTTAAATTTTTAAAAATTATATATTAATCCTCAAACTATGATTCTCATTCTAAATTTGCTCATAAATTTTAAAATATTTTATATCAATTCTCAAACTACCATTATCATTCTATTTTGATCATTTTGTTGACTATATTGGTATTTGAAGGTCATTAAAATTGAACATATGGCCTATAGAATTTTTTTTTTTTGGAAATATTTAGAATTTTTTTAAAAAGTTACAGGCTCAACTCATGGGAACTTAAAAAAGTAATACTTTTTTTATAACTAATAGAGTCAATGTCATGTTAACAAAAGATTAACATGGAATGATACTGATTTAAGGATTAATATAAAATATTCTAAAATTTAAGAATCAATTTAAAATGAGATCATAATTTAAGAATTAATATAAAATATTTTAAAATTTATAAACCAATATGAAATGGAGTTGTCATAGTTTGAGGGGATCATAGCTGATATCTCTACCGGTGCTCAAACATGGGATCTCTATGAAGAAATACAAGTCGTTAATTACTTATAAATCATCTAATCAATGGCGATGAACCCGTTTCCATTTACCAAGCATTAGCGTCTCCCATGTGGAAAGCAACTGTTATGGCCGAGTATGATGCTTTAATCGTAAATTAGTCTCTGTCGAGTTCGTACGTGTCCTCTCATTATTTAGCTAATAAAAGTAAAGTTCCCTTTGTATCGTCTAATCAATTTATTTCGAAATAAAAGCAAATAAAAAGGATATGAAACTCATCGGTTCATATTCTACTATTCACGACCCCATTTGTTTGTACAGTCGCATAATAAACTGCATTATCATTTTAGAAATTTTTTCCACCTTGAAGAAACTTGTATAAAATCATTCATCTCCTCTGGCAGGGGCATTGTCAGTTGTATTCCAATAGCTGAAACTCTCGATTTATATGTATAATAAGCCTTAAGAGCTACACAATGTACAGGTTTTTCGATACAAGCTAAGCAACAACATTATTTTCCTACAGTTCTTAACGTTCTAAGAAGAAAGGTACAAGAACCATGGCCCTTTGAGCAAGAAGAAAGGACGAGGTAAGAGCTTCACACAGATCCTGTTAGCTGCACAAACATGTCTCTTTCCCTACACCGACTTAAGACGGGTGCAGAGACTGAGCAGCAATTCTCCGCTCTGAAAGTAATGCAAAATTACGAGTTAATGGACTTCGGCGTATGCAAGCCAACTTTGGAACAAAGAGTGTTGATCATTTTTGTACTGAAGCTGATATTCTAAGAAGCTCCTTTATGAATAGACTGATGAAATATAAACTGATAAGTAACCATGAAAGACAAGAATCAGTACCTCCAGCGGCAACAAGTTTCTCTACCCGTGCAACAATATGCTTCCCATAAGTGTACTTCTTCAATGCGTTTAAATGGACCTTAATTCGAGAAAGGATCAGCTCTCGTTGCTGATCATCACAGGTCTCTAGCACTTTCTGTACAACGTAGTTTGCAAACTGGTCTTTCATCATTGCCTGGGATGGACAAAAACAGCTATCAGTCCACACATAAATTATGTAAAATTTAAAGCGTTCTCATAAACCTTACATGAAAGGTAATCCCACTAGCAGAATACACACAAAGATTATGAATATGTACGCACGGCCATAATCAGTAAAATCAAAATTCCAAATAAAGGCATTGTGGTTCGTGGCTTTTCTCCAATGATTTACAAACCTAGGTGAAGTTATTTAGGGCATTTTTTTTTCGAGTGCATGGACTTAAAACCAGAGTATTTCTATTCAAAAAATATATCCAAGGAAAACACAAACCTGAAGAGGCTCATTCTCATCAGTAGAACCAAGCATTTCATTCACCAATAGCTGACGTTCAGCAGAACCACCAAAAGTTAAGCATTTCTCGACAACATTAGATGCAAACTTCTGCTGACTCATCTGGACAATCTTCCCAGCTAGCTCCTTAATTATGATTGAGCGCTCATGAGGTTTTCCATGCTCCAGTACATGCTGTAGAGGTCGGTTAATGCATCAATCAGTATGGCAAATACCATAGATATGCTTAATAATAAAAATAAAAAATCGAGGTATATACTTGTGAAAAATAAACAAATACAACAACAATTGTGGGCAGTATTTTAATAGACATGAATGCAAAAGAGTGAAGACCCCCGAGCAGATTCGGTAAGTTACTTTTGCCCCCAACACGTTCTATAAATATGAACTATAAGTTCAAAAAAAATGACAAACCTGAATGACATAATTGCCATACTGGTCTTGGGCCAGAAGACTAACAGATCCTAAAATCTCATCCATAACCTTACTTTGAGTTTTTGGGTCCATGCAGTGCTCCAATATTCTCTGCATGAGATGTAGTAATAGTCATGATAATAATACAGAACACGGATTACGCATTTACATGGAACAGTTCTAGTCGTCTATATATATATATATAAGGACCCTGAACCTGTATAACTCGGCACCCATATGGATGAGTGGAAAGCGTCACAACTTGATCAAAAAATGTTGTGACTACAAATTGGATGTTTTCCTCGGGAACACATTCAATACATTTCTGGATCACATGGTTTCCATTCTGGTCTCGTACACAACGCATAACACTACCATCAAGCTCATGAACCATGTTGATCTTCTGATCCAGATCGACAACCTCTATGGCCTTGAATTTTAAACAAAGCATATACATATTTGTCAGAATGCTGGGCGGTATTCTTCGTGTAACTATTCAAATAGCATGTGTGCTTTTAGCAAATCTATATAAAAACCAAGATAAAGTGATACCAAAGTTAAACACAATTACCATAAGTGAAGCATTGTTAGCACATATGTTACAAAAATAAAATTAAAAAGGATTTATAGAATTTTTATATAAAATGGAAAGCACCGATGTGAACTTTTTCATTTAATCAAGTATAAAATTGGGCTGTTCTTATTTAGAATGAAACCGTGAAACAATTGAGGAAGCTTGATCAGTAAAAAGAATCAACAAGAGAAGTTCAAATGCAACTCAATGATTATGAAATAAAGTGTAGAATATTAGAAACCATATACCTTCTGAATCACTCGACAACCGTACATTTGAAGACTGAGTGTTAAAACATGACCTAAAAGCTTGCAAGCAAGTTCTCTTCTCTGAGCTGGAAGTCCAAGTTCAAAAAACTGTAGGTAGATACAGATTTACTATGTAACCCAATAAATATACAACTAAGGAGTGTAACGGATTAAAAAGTGGATACCTTTTGAATGACATAATTACCAAACACAT